GCGACATCAAGTCAGTCACCAGCAGCTCTCCGTTCCCATTGCACGGGCCAGGCCACGCGGCGGCGGCGGCCAGAGCCGTAAATAGTCGGTCCAACCCAAACATGAGCTGTCAGCCGGCGGCAGCAGCCACACGGCTGAAGCTCTGAAGAAGCTTCCTGACGGGGCCTGGGGCCTGGTTTTGGCAGCAGTCCTGCGGACTGTCGATGAATTTTCGGTGACTCCGACTCCGACTCCCACTCCGACTTTCAAAAACCAACTCCGAATCAGACTCAGGCTCCGGACAAAACTGTCGACTCCGACTCCAACTCCGACTCCGCAGCCCTGCCAAGTCTGTGGAGTCGATGGATTTTCGGTGACTCAGACTCCGACTCCGATTTCCAAAACCAACTCCCACTCCGACTCCGACTCCGTTAACCCGCGCCCTGCTGGGGGGGGTGTTTGAACACCCCCCCCCCCTTGTGGTTTTTCGCGAATATCTCAAAAACGGCGGCGCTCCGCGCCGCCGTTTTTGGTACACCTTATCATACATCAATTCTACACATGTTGTGAAAATTTCAGGCCAAGGTCATTCAAGGTCAGGTCACCAGGTCACTTGAAGTGACCTCACCTCATAAAAACTTTCAATGTCTGTCATAGCTACACCGAGAGACCGATCGCTTTGAAACTTTCAGCGATTGCTAAGAGCAATAGCATGTACAAAATGTATATCTCAGAATTTTGATATCGATGACCTAAGGTCAGGTCAATTTTGCGACCTCCCCATTATAAGTCAATGGGAGAAAATTGAAATGCGCCTCTTTTGGATGAAAGACATTATAAACACTCCCAAACACCGAATTACAAGTAGTTTAGACACACTGAACTTGAAAATGGTGTCCGTGACCCTTGTTTATGCCCTGAGGTCATCTTAGGTCACGAATGGTATCTAACAGTTTTTCGCAAATAACTTTTGATAGAGGCATGCTAGAGCGCTGAAAACGCCTTAGATGTGTTCAGCTCGACGATACGGATCGACTGATATGCAACATGACCCTTTCCGGTCAGGTCATGACCTTGACCTGAGGTCAAATTTTCAAATTGACCTTCCAAGGTCAAGTCATAGTTCATTCGATGCGTCTTGACGAGAGGAACACGATGCCGGTAAAAGTAAGCTCGTACAAGGCTTGGGTCAAAAGTTATTGCAGAAAAACTGTTTTCGAAAAAATCGACTATTTTTGCAGTTTTTGCCCCCTGCAGGCAAAACCGTTGACGTTAGGTCAAATCTGAGAGAATTACTCAGAAAGGGCGTTAATAGGGCTATCGAATGCGCTTTTCTGCAGCGCTGTAGCTCTATTGGTTCCCGAGTTATGCGTTGGCTTCTTGGAAATTTTCGACATTCGACCTGGAAATCGGCGAAATTTTGCCTTCAATGACCTCTGGTGACCTGACCTTTGACCTGACCAAAAAATTGACCGAAGTGATTTCGTCATTATTTTTGACGCTCTTTCGAACGCCGCCTTCCGCGTATCGCTACGTGGCCCAGGAGCCGAGTTACAAGGGGGGGGGGGGGTGTTCAAACACCCCCCCCCCCCCAGCAGGGCGTGGAAATCCAGGACCCCCAGCAGGGCGCGGGTTAAGAACTGTCGACTCCGGCCGACGCCGACTCCGACCCCGCAGCCCTGGTTGGCAGAGCTGCGAATTCCGACCGGAGGCCCTCGCCCGGTGACCAGCGGGCCGCGGTCATCATCAGATACGGGGCGCGATGACGCCATGAGGGACAGCAGTGGCGTCATTGCGTCACTCAGCAGGATCCCAGCTATTCTGATGTGCACCCCGGCCGGAACAGACGGGGGCTGCGAGCAGCGACCGTCGCTGGATGAAGAGGCCCGAAAACAGGCGAGCTTTCACATAGAACTCAGTTGCAAGAAGCGATAAAATTCAAATGGCATCCGACCCGCCGATTGAGGCTCGGTCGGCGTTCGATGACGTCCAAGCGGTGGTTGTAAATTGAGGCCTCCCACCACCTGAACGGAAATTTCACTGCCCCGGTAACTAACCACAAAACGCCACAAAAATGCGCACTGCGCAGCTTTTATAGAGCAGCCATTCTCCTACATAAACTGAGTCTCTGACCGCAACCGATCGACCACACCAGGAAAAGCCAGTAGTCGCCGATACATACAAACGTACGTACAGCCATTAACAATGCCCGAACCAGTACCACGTAATGCTCTCCCCCGACCCAGTCCTGCCGACCTGGGAAGGGACACCACCCGAGCCACGTCACAAGGCGGATCTGCATGAGTCGCAGAGCTCGCCAAGCCAACCAATGACGTCCCTGAAAGGATGCTATCACCGGATGTAGCTCTCCACTCAAAGCTGCGTCAGTGTTTTAGCTCTACTTATATGTTTCACAGTCGTTATAAATGTTGTTAATGTACAGGGGTCACAGTCCCCCTTCACCCTCACATAGCCCCAGTCCCTGACCCGCACAGTGCACATTCAGGGACAACGACTTTACACCAACGAATAAGGCCGGGCACCGCTTGAGAGAAGGTCATGAACTGTCAACGAGCCCTCGATAACCTTATATACCTAGCACTATGGCCGGGCCGGAAAGGAGGTAGTTCCAATGAACCTATGAATGTTACACAGCGGTCAGGCCTGGCCCACGGACGGAGCGACTGACCCTCGTGCTGCACCCGGTGCCTCTCACCTGAGCAGGCACAGGGGCTTCGGGAGGCTGCTGGCGGCGCCAGGGTGCCGAGGGTGATTTATTGCACTGCGCAGTGCGCACCTTGGGCAGCGAATGGTGGCGCAATAACTCATCACCACGTGCTGGGGTGTGGCTGGCCCTGCCATCGTGGTTACGTTCGTGTATGCAGGCTCGCTGTTGTTCTTATATATTCGATTGTATGTGGGATGATGTTGCAGGGACGATGTCGACGTTTCAACCCCGAGTGTAGGAGGAATCAACTAGGGGGCTGTGGAGTGTGGACAACACATTGTGGGAAACTCGCATTGAAAATGTCAGGTGTGGCGACAGTACCCTAGCAGTGCCTGTCTGACTGAAGAATAAAAAGAACGCAAAACGGGGATAGCACTATCAGTGAAACGAAGCCAGGACCGATAATGGCGGTTATACCAGGAATTGGATGACCAGATATAGCCCTGGCCCCCAATATAGGCGTATCTTTATTGACACAGCTCTTCGGAGCCACGCCATCCGTACATGCTGAGTAAAGACACAAATCTGTAGCGATATTGCGACATTGATTCTGCGCATAAACGCCACATGACGTTTTCAGGACATTTGAAACAGAACTCGAGTAGGCTGGAGGCTCGTGCAAATACAATAAAGACAAAGTTGGTTTGAATTCCAATAAGGTTTTCAAAATCCATCAGTTCATTGAGCAATGCCGGTGGTAAATAGATTTATACCAGTGTTCGAGCCCCTTTGCGACCGTTTTGTTCACACATGGTTTGTTGAACAGCCAGTGACTGTGGCTGCATTACAGGCCATACATACTAGTACAATACAACGACCTCGTCATCATGGCCGGTCGTGATTGGTCCTAGGTTTCAGTTTTGTGTGGACATATTGAACACATCGGTATTCTGCCGCGAGCCGTCGCCTCGAAATATTCCGCTTGGGGCATGGACAAATCTGGACAATGGATATGCCTCTTAGAAATGAATGAGGATTGACCTTGCAATTCACCAATCAAAACAATCTTAATCAAAACAAACTTAATATGAACGAACGATCCATCCGGCCTGGAAACGCCTAGGACACAGCCGGCAGCAGTGCTCACTGGACCAAGCAGATGTCATTTCCTCTGCAACTCGATTCGCCTCCAAAACACAAGCACGGCTAACAATGCTCTGTCAGCCACATTCCACTTGCCGCGCAGGGTGTCCCGATTTCGAGTACACTTGTACTGCGGGTCCGACCCCGAGTCCCGGATGAGCGCTGCCTAAACGATAGCGGGTGGCGCGCCGGCTGGCCCGGGTGCTCCACGGGGCCGTACCTTAGTCGCACTTCCCGATCCGACTGATAGGGCGAGCAATGGCTGCGCAGAATCGACAGGCTGCTGGCGGCACAGGCAAGGAGGGGGACGGTGGGGAAGGCCTCACTACCCGCTAAACTGCAGTCAACGGGCTCCAGAGCAGTCAACCCGCTATGCCGCTGCCAACTCGCTCCAGAGCAGCGTCCAATCCAAGCCAAGCAACCACTGATGGGCAGATGTCGCGCTAGCTTTAGCCTGATCCTGCACCTATAATACACTAGGTAGCACGTGCATACACATGCTTATGTGCATAGATAGTTTGTACCGCTAAAATAATGCATATTTCATAAGAAAGTGATTATCCAAGAAGACTGACTCTGAATAAGTGACATTAAAAATAATAACCATCACACACGCATCCATAGCAAGATGGGACGGAACATTTTTTTTTTTTGCAACTGCTAGATGGATATATGCCAACTTGCAACACGTGATGTGTACGCACGCACGATCATGCATCTACCGTTATCGCTCTCAAAGTCCAGCATATCAGAGTGCACATTATCTACAGCTCCGTCAGTCCCACAGTGAGCGTCGTATGCGGCTGAACTGGGCTCTGCCGCTGTAAATGTATGAGCCAGGGAGCTGGGACCGGGGACGGGCTATTATCGACAAAGGTGCCATCGGACCACGGACGTGATCGCCAGGAGTTGTGATTTAACACAAATATGCTCTGGACTGCAATATAACACTTCAACTGGTTACTCTAACGGTCTGTCGTCACATGAATAAAAATGGTTAAAGAAACATTTACTACATCAAAATAATATGAAATGCATATTGCATAGACATTGAAGATGCACTCCTTCAGCTTCAGAGGTGATATGAGAACTGAGAAGTGTTTAAATGCATCCATAAGCCTAGTCTAGAAGAAGAAACAAGTGCTACTGCCTGGTACTGAATGTAAAGGGGAGCAGCATGTTCAAGCTAATTATCTGTCAGCTGACTTACCTGAAGAAGGCTTAATATGTTAGAGTTTTCAATGTGCCAGTCACTCTTTGCCAGATGTCTTCAAGTGCAAAAAATCCAAATCACTGCAATATTAGAAAAAGTCAAACAATACAACCAATAAAAAGTCAATCAATTGATAGGTAGTATAAAATGATGGAAAACACTCCGATTTCACGGTTAATTGGCTCAAACTGAGCATAAAAGGACTTTTATCATACATAATTGTGAGTCTTAGTGGTGCTATATTATCAAACGGGCACCTATTAGAAAAGCCAAAAGAAGCTTTTACATTTAAATGCTGAAATTCATTGTCTGTCCCATTAATATTTTGCATATTAAAATTATCAGGCTACAGGTGGTGAGACTTTGGAGCCCATTGCCCTGATTGTTAGTTGTTACTCAGCACTCAATATCTGATAGTTGATACTCATGAGGCACTTTGCAGTCCTCCCCAGTGTCTCAGCACGTGTCGTTTATTGTATCCCGTGTCAACCAAGGCTACATAAAACCGTGTCAACAAATGCCGCAACTATTCTGCTGCAATATTCCGACACATCTCCCCCTTTTTACTGAGACACATCTTTCTACGCAAACGACACCGGCTCTGAACTAAACATCGGCACGACACAGCGGCCCTCTACAGATCCAAACGCGTGGGGGCCACCGAGGCGCGTCCCGATCGTGTCAGGATTGGGCGCGCGGGCTGACGCGACGGGGGCGGAGCTGGCTTTGTGGTCCGCGGCGACGGCTGCTCGGGCGACCGCGGCGACGGCTGCTCGGGCGACCTCTGGATCCGCGGGCTCTGCGGCCGCTCGTCTTCCGTTCCCCCTGTGGCCGCTGGAGTCGGAGTCATGTGACCGTCTCCGTTATGGGCGAGCGGTCGGCGGGTGTCCGGCACGTACGGAACGTCGACTGGCTGCAGGTGTCGGCGGTTACGCACATGATACGTCCGCTCACCGGCTCGACCGATGATCTGCTGGGGATCGGTCCAGCAGCGCTCTCCTGGCAGGCGGGTGAGGACGACATCACCGGGCCGAAGAGCAGGCAGCGGCCTGACTCCATGCCTCCTGTTGAAGTCAGCAGTGCTCTTGCGCTTGGCTTCGTCCGCCCGGCGAGCGATGTGAGCCATGTCTGGCCAGCGTGGCGCGAGATGGGCCTTAGTCGTCGGTAGTCGCGATCGAAGCTGGCGGCCCATGATCAGCTGGGACGGCGTGCATCCTGTGACGTCGAGCGGCGTTGACCGGTACGTCAGAAGCGCGAGATACGGGTCTGGCTGAGCCATGATTCTCTTCGCCGTCTGGACGCCTCGCTCAGCCGCGCCGTTTCCCTGGGGGCAGTACGGGTCAGACAGAGTGTGGAGGAACCCGTAGTGCCGCGCGAAGTCAGCAAACTCGGCACTAGTGAATTGAGGTCCACCGTCTGACCGTACTTCCTCGGGGATGCCCCATCTGGCGAACAGCGACTTCATGTGGTTGATCACCTGCGCGCTGGTGGTACTTCTGAGGTGTTCAATCTCTATCCACCGGCTGAAATAATCCACGACGATCAGATACATCTGTGAGCCATATTGACAGAGATCCGCACCGATCTTCATCCACGGACGCTCTGGCAGTCCCCTGGAGACCATGGGTTCTGCGTGCTGAGCTCGACGGTTCGTTTGACAGAATCTACATGATTCTATCCAACTCTTGAGGTCAGGACTCAAGCGAGGCCACCACACCGAGGCGTGCGCTCGCTCGCGGGACTTTGAGAGACTCGTGTGCCCGTCATCATGGATCCGTTGCAGCATTTGGGCTCTCAACGACTCTGGGATCACTATTCTGCCATCGAACATCAGAAGAGACACGCCCAGGACACTGAGATGGCCTCTCACCTCGTAATACGGCGAGAGATCCTGCAGTTCCGCGAGGTTTTCTGGCCATCCCTGTAGAGTGTAGTAGATCACTTGCTTGATCTCGGGGTCTTCCTGCTGCTTCGTCTGGATCAGCTGAAGCATGTCTCCAGACGCTGGCAGGTGGGACGCCACGTAGTTGACGTGAGCATCGGCGTCACGCTGCAGCTCGTCCGCCACTCCTCCAGGCGGGCCTTGCAGCGGGTGGCGCGACAGGAGGTCTGCCACTACCAGCTTCCGACCTGGAACATAGACAGCGGTAGGGGCATACCTGGCGAACCTCATCAGTAGTCTCTGGCACCGCAGCGGTGTGTCCGACAGGTCCTTCTTGTTGATCAGTGGCACCAGTGGACGATGGTCCGTCTGCAGCTCAAACTCGATGCCACACACGAACGTGTGGAACCTCTCGCACGCCCAGACAGCTGCGAGGCACTCCTTCTCTATTTGTGCCCAGCGTTGCTCCACTTTCGTCAGCATGCGAGAGCAGTAGGCGACTGGGCGCCATTGCTCTCCGTGCTTCTGTAGCAGGACACCTCCGATCCCATACGAGCTGGCGTCTGCAGACACCACAGTCGGCTTCGTGACATCGAAGAATGCCAAAGTCGGTGCTTCTGCCAGCATCTTCTTGGCTTTCTTGAAAGCGTCTTCTTGTGCCGCATCCCATGTCCACGCGGCATCAGACTTCAGCAGTGCATTCAGCGGCTGCAGGACAGCTTGGGCGTTCGGCATGAATCTCGTCAGGTACGTTATCATACCCAGGACCTTCCTCAGTTCTGCGACGTCCGTCGGCGGGTTCAACTTCAGCACAGCTTCAACCTTCGCCGGACTGACCTTGATACCCTGGCCAGTGATCAGATGTCCCAGGAAGGTTACTTCTTGTTTCTGGAAGCTGCATTTCTCCTTGTTGAGCTTCAGTCCGCTCGCTTTGATCCGTTCTAGCACCGCTTTGAGTCTTTGGTCGTGTTCCTTCTCGTCCCTTCCGAAGACGAGGACGTCGTCCATCGAGCATATGACGCCCTCCAGCCCTGTCAGAAGTTCGGTCATCTTGCGCTGGTAGATTTCGGGGGCGAGCGTGATTCCCATCGGCAGCCTGTGGTACTTGTATCTGCCGAAAGGCGTGATGAAGGCCGTGCATGCTTGCGCACTCTCATCCAGTGGAATCTGGTAGAATCCCGATGCTGCGTCGAGCTTCGAGAAGATTCTGGCTCCAGCCAGCTTCCCTGTGAGCTCCTCAAACGTGGGTAGCGAGAACTTTTCTCTCTTGACGCTCTGGTTCAGTCGCTTGTAATCGACGCAGATCCTGACCTTCTTTTCGCCTGTACTCTCTTCTCTTTGCGGTTTTATCACTGGCACCATGGGTGCACACCAGTCCGTGGGTTCAGTTACTTTAGAGATCACTCCCTTTTCCTCCATTTCCGTCAGAGACTTTTTCACAGCTTCCATCAGTGGGATGGGCACCCGTCTGGCAGCGCTCACTGCATATGGCACTGCGTCTTCCTTCATCTTGAATGACACTGAGTCGGTGTTCCATGTCCCGAAGCCAAACAGGCTTTCATCTTCCACTGCTCCAACAAACTGAATCAGACGGAGCGTCTGGGCTGCGGAACGGCTCAGCAGATTTCCACAGCCTCGAGGGGTGTCTGGAAGCACATATACATCCATCAGGACAGTTGTGTTCTGTGATTTGCTGCGTGCTTCAGCTTGGAAGACACCTATCACTTCCAATCTTCCAGCTGGTGTCATCAGCTTCTTCTCCGGGGCCTTCAGACTGGGCTTGGAGACCATCTTGTCGAACGTTTCTCTGCTGATCAGACTCACATCGGCACCTGAGTCAACCTTGAATGGAATGACTGCTCCACACATCTCGAGGTAAGTCATCCAAGCCTCACCTGGCTTTTCCATGACCTCTCCCAGGAATATGCCAGCGTTCTCTTCTCCAGCATCTTCATCTTCTTCAATCACTTCTCTGATCCTGCGTCCTCGGCTGCTCTGGCCTCTTCCACGCCGTGGGTTCCGTGACTCTCTCGTCTCCTGCTGCTGTGGCTGTGGGGTCAAACAGGCTCGTGCAAAGTGATTGAGCATGCCACACTTGTTACAGCGCTTCCCATACGCTGGACAGCGTCCCTTGTCATGGCTGAATTTGCAGAACTTGCACTGGGGGTACTTTTGGCCATCATATTTCTGCCCTTGGGCTTGTGACCCCCTCACAGCATTGACTGCGGCTTCAGCTGCCCGTCCTTGCCTCACATCAGAGTAGTTTCTAGCATAGTCCAGGACAGTCGCAAGGGTGACATCACTTTTGGTGAGGTGAAGGAGTTCGAGCTTTTCCGACAGGTCAGAGCTCGCTACACCGAGAATGAACTGATCTCGAACGCGCTCCTCTTTGGACCCAGCAAACTCACAATCTGCTGCCAGGACATGCAAAGCTCGTGAGAACTCTTCCACGGACTCACCTGATGCTTGAACTCGTTTTGAGAATTGTTTTCGCAGCCTCAGAACGTTTTTACGGGGCTGGAAATAGTCATCAAATTTTCCAATCACAGTGTCAAAATCCTGTTCACTTTCCACACTCAGGTTGAAAGTCGCCATAATATCTTCAGCTTCCGGGCCCATGCAGTACTTCAGGGAGGCCACCTGAATTGCTCCTGTTTCATTTTCCAGTTTTGTGAGGAGTCTGAATGTCATATACATTTTTCTCCATCTGAACCAGCCTTTAGGGTCAAAGTCAAATCTCTCCGGCGGCGAGTACTGGGCCATGTTCCAACGCTTTTATCACAAGCGGTCAATATTCCAAGTCACGGCTGATCAAAATTCAAATTCAAAATCCGAAAGAAATCCAAATCCACGTTCAAATCCAGGTCCCACGTGGTTTCGGCACCATGTCTCAGCACGTGTCGTTTATTGTATCCCGTGTCAACCAAGGCTACATAAAACCGTGTCAACAAATGCCGCAACTATTCTGCTGCAATATTCCGACACACCCAGTCCACTATGAGAGGCCAGTTTCTTCATAAGCCAAGAAAAACCAATGGCTTTGGTTATTTTTATTCCTTAAATGACCTGGCACCTGGCACCTGTCACAAATCACAAACCACACAAAATGATGGCTGATGGAAAAATATTGGCTGGCTCTTGGACTGGCTGATATTATTTTCCACACCATCAGTTTTTGTTTTGTTTTGGATGGATTTAACTCGTCTGATCTTAAACATGAAACAAATGTATAAATGTTGGTATCTGGTATGCTATTTGTTGCCAGATATTTCCATGGATTCAAGTGATGGATCTATGATCTCAGCAAACCTTGAAGCATCAGAGCCATTGCTCTGATTTAGGTTGCTGATAATCCGCAACTGTTCCTTGACGACTTGTATGTCAATAAAACCAGGAGGAAAATCTAGCTCAGCTGAGCTTTCAGCAACAATTATAGTATGCATGGATCAATGATCCAAATGTCCCGGTCATGAGCTCGATGACAATGGTTTCCTACAGCACAACAGGCCAAGCGGCCTTTAAATTCCAATCAGGTAAGCTAAGGCAATGTGGATCAAACTCTGGGCTACACCACTTAATTTAAACCAAGGCCGTATAAGAATTTAAACCAAGGCCATATAAGATTTAAACCAACATAAAAATAACACCTGCTGGACTCACAAACAAACAAAAAAAATCAAAGAAAAACACATCATTTTAGGATGGAAACCGCGTTGAAATAATGGCTGAAGCCTGAAGGCAAACGAAGGCTCGAGGTATGACTACTGTGCTAAAAAGAACAACTTATCTCTATGGTCAATAACATAGAAAAACGTACCATTCTCATCCCAACTTGTTGTATTCATGTATTGGTATGTATGGATTCCGCGCTGCGCTCTCGGCGGGAACGGACGTGCCTCATCGAGCTCCACCCTTGACCTTGATCGGAAACCTGAATCAGCTGTTGGCCTAGTTTCTGAAGATTGGGATTTCGTTTTGTCCATCTGAATCACACCAATTATCTTTTGGTGCTTTCTGGTTTTGAGTTTTGAGCATTCTAATTGGTAAATTTGCCTTCCTGGTTGAATGATGCCGGTTTCTCATTCTCCACCGCCGACGAAAAGAAAGAAGGCTCCTACCTCATCGCAATCAGCTGATGCGGAAAATCAAATTCAAACGCCCCCTCCAAGATCGTCGCACGCCGCCAGTGTTGATGTGCGCGATTCTTCGGCCTTGCTCGCCTTGCCGTCGGCGGTTGAAGCCGAAAACGGAAATTATTGGCCTGTTCCAGCGCCTCCAGAAACCTCCAGAAAGCTCCAGAAAGCTCCAGAATTCTCCAGAGAGCGTTCCAGCGCCTCCAGAAAGCTCCAGAAAGCTCTCGCCTAAGCTCCAGAAACCTCCAGTAGCCTCCAGAGAGTTGGGAGTTGGTACGTCTGTATACTTAGCGAATTATTGACATTGACGTTCAGCGACAGATTCGCGGACCCCTAGGAATCCGCTGAAAATCCCTACATAGGGGTAACTTGGGGCGTAGAGTCGCGTGTTGCAATCCGTTAAACCCTACACCTAATACTTTTCCCGCTAGAGGGCAGCAAAGTTCCAGCGACAGATTCGCCGGACCCCTAGGATTCCGCTGAAAATCCCTACATAGGGGTAACTTGGGGCGTAGAGTCGCGTGGTGCAATCCGTTAAACCCTACACCTAATACTTTTCCCGCTAGAGGGCAGCAAAGTTCCAGCGACAGATTCGCCGGACCCCTAGGAATCCGCTGAAAATCCCTATATAGGGGTAACTTGGGGCGTAGAGTCGCGTGGTGCAATCCGTTAAACCCTACACCTAATACTTTTCCCGCTAGAGGGCAGCAAAGTTCCAGCGACAGATTCGCCGGACCCCTAGGATTCCGCTGAAAATCCCTACATAGGGGTAACTTGGGGCGTAGAGTCATGTGGTGCAATCCGTTAAACCCTACACCTAATACTTTTCCCGCTAGAGGGCAGCAAAGTTCCAGCGACGGATTCGCCGGACCCCTAGGATTCCGCTGAAAATCCCTACATAGGGGTAACTTGGGGTGTAGAGTCGCGTGGTGCAATACGTTAAACCCTACACCTAATACTTTTCCCGCTAGATGGCAGCAAAGTTCCAGCGACAGATTCGCCGGACCCCTAGCATTCCGCTGAAAATCACTACACAGGGGTAACTTGGGGCGTAGAGTAGCGTGGTGCAATCCGTTAAACCCTACACCTAATACTTTTCCCGCTAGAGGGCAGCAAAGTTCCAGCGACAGATTCGCCGGACCCCTAGGATTCCGCTGAAATAGGGGTAACTTGGTCGCCGGACCCCTGGGATTCCGCTGAAAATCACTACATAGGGGTAACTTGGGGCGTAGAGTCCCGTGTTGCAATCCGTTAAACCCTACACCTAATACTTTTCCCGCTAGAGGGCAGCAAAGTTCCAGCGACAGATTCGCCGGACCCCTAGGAATCCGCTGAAAATCCCTATATAGGGGTAACTTGGGGCGTAGAGTCGCGTGGTGCAATCCGTTAAACCCTACACCTAATACTTTTCCCGCTAGAGGGCAGCAAAGTTCCAGCGACAGAATCGCCGGACCCCTAGGATTCCGCTGAAAATCCCTACATAGGGGTAACTTGGGGCGTAGAGTCATGTGGTGCAATCCGTTAAACCCTACACCTAATACTTTTCCCGCTAGAGGGCAGCAAAGTTCCAGCGACAGATTCGCCGGACCCCTAGGATTCCGCTGAAAATCCCTACATAGGGGTAACTTGGGGTGTAGAGTCGCGTGGTGCAATCCGTTAAACCCTACACCTAATACTTTTCCCGCTAGATGGCAGCAAAGTTCCAGCGACAGATTCGCCGGACCCCTAGCATTCCGCTGAAAATCACTACACAGGGGTAACTTGGGGCGTAGAGTAGCGTGGTGCAATCCGTTAAACCCTACACCTAATACTTTTCCCGCTAGAGGGCAGCAAAGTTCCAGCGACAGATTCGCCGGACCCCTAGGATTCCGCTGAAATAGGGGTAACTTGGTCGCCGGACCCCTGGGATTCCGCTGAAAATCACTACATAGGGGTAACTTGGGGCGTAGAGTCGCGTGGTGCAATCCGTTAAACCATACACCTAATACTTTTCCCGCTAGAGGGCAGCAAAGTTCCAGCGACAGATTCGCCGGACCCCTAGGATTCCGCTGAAAATCCCTATATAGGGGTAACTTGGGGCGTAGAGTCGCGTGGTGCAATCCGTTAAACCCTACACCTAATACTTTTCCCGCTAGAGGGCAGCAAAGTTCCAGCGACAGATTTGCCGGACCCCTAGGAATCCGCTGAAAATCCCTATATAGGGGTAACTTGGGGCGTAGAGTCGCGTGGTGTAATCCGTTAAACCATACACCTAATACTTTTCCCGCTAGAGGGCAGCAAAGTTCCAGCGACAGATTCGCCGGACCCCTAGGATTCCGCTGAAAATCACTTCACAAGGGTAACTTGGGGCGTAGAGTCGCGTGGTGCAATCTGTTAAACCCTACACCTTATACTTTTCCCGCTAGAGGGCAGCAAAGTTCCAGCGACAGATTCGCCGGACCCCTAGGATTCCGCTGAAATAGGGGTAACTTGGTCGCCGGACCCCTGGGATTCCGCTGAAAATCACTACATAGGGGTAACTTGGGGCGTAGAGTCGCGTGGTGCAATCCGTTAAACCCTTCACCTAATACTTTTCCCGCTAGAGGGCAGCAAAGTTCCAGCGACAGATTCGCCGGACCCCTAGGATTCCGCTGAAAATCCCTACATAGGGGTAACTTGGGGCGTAGAGTCGCGTGGTGCAATCCGTTAAACCCTACACCTAATACTTTTCCCGCTAGAGGGCAGCAAAGTTCCAGCGACAGATTCGCCGGACCCCTAGGATTCCGCTGAAAATCCCTACATAGGGGTAACTTGGGGCGTAGAGTCGCGTGGTGCAATCCGTTAAACCCTACACCTAATACTTTTCCCGCTAGAGGGCAGCAAAGTTCCAGCGACAGATTCGCCGGACCCCTAGGATTCCGCTGAAAATCCCTACATAGGGGTAACTTGGGGCGTAGAGTCATGTGGTGCAATCCGTTAAACCCTACACCTAATACTTTTCCCGCTAGAGGGCAGCAAAGTTCCAGCGACAGATTCGCCGGACCCCTAGGATTCCGCTGAAAATCCCTACATAGGGGTAACTTGGGGTGTAGAGTCGCGTGGTGCAATCCGTTAAACCCTACACCTAATACTTTTCCCCGCTAGATGGCAGCAAAGTTCCAGCGACAGATTCGCCGGACCCCTAGCATTCCGCTGAAAATCACTACACAGGGGTAACTTGGGGCGTAGAGTAGCGTGGTGCAATCCGTTAAACCCTACACCTAATACTTTTCCCGCTAGAGGGCAGCAAAGTTCCAGCGACAGATTCGCCGGACCCCTAGGATTCCGCTGAAAATCCCTACATAGGGGTAACTTGGGGCGTAGAGTCATGTGGTGCAATCCGTTAAACCCTACACCTAATACTTTTCCCGCTAGAGGGCAGCAAAGTTCCAGCGACAGATTCGCCGGACCCCTAGGATTCCGCTGAAAATCCCTACATAGGGGTAACTTGGGGTGTAGAGTCGCGTGGTGCAATCCGTTAAACCCTACACCTAACACTTTTCCCGCTAGAGGGCAGCAAAGTTCCAGCGACAGATTCGCCGGACCCCTAGGATTCCGCTGAAAATCCCTACATAGGGGTAACTTGGGGCGTAGAGTCGCGTGGTGCAATCCGTTAAACCCTACACCTAATACTTTTCCCGCTAGAGGGCAGCAAAGTTCCAGCGACAGATTCGCCGGACCCCTAGGATTCCGCTGAAAATCCCTACATAGGGGTAACTTGGGGCGTAGAGTCGCGTGGTGCAATCCGTTAAACCCTACACCTAATACTTTTCCCGCTAGAGGGCAGCAAAGTTCCAGCGACATATTCGCCGGACCCCTAGGAATCCGCTGAAAATCCCTATATAGGGGTAACTTGGGGCGTAGAGTCGCGTGGTGCAATCCGTTAAACCCTACACCTAATACTTTTCCCGCTAGAGGGCAGCAAAGTTCCAGCGACAGATTCGCCGGACCCCTAGGATTCCGCTGAAAATCCCTATATAGGGGTAACTTGGGGCGTAGAGTCGCGTAGTGCAATCCGTTAAACCCTACACCTAATACTTTTCCCGCTAGAGGGCAGCAAAGTTCCAGCGACAGATTCGCCGGACCCCTAGGATTCCGCTGAAAATCCCTACATAGGGGTCACGTGGGGCGTAGAGTCGCGTGGTGCAATCCGTTAAACCCTACACCTAATACTTTTCCCGCTAGAGGGCAGCAAAGTTCCAGCGACAGATTCGCCGGACCCCTAGGATTCCGCTGAAATAGGGGTAACTTGGTCGCCGGACCCCTGGGATTCCGCTGAAAATCACTACATAGGGGTAACTTGGGGCGTAGAGTCGCGTGTTGCAATCCGTTAAACCCTACACCTAATACTTTTCTCGCTAGAGGGCAGCAAAGTTCCAGCGACAGATTCGCCGGACCCCTAGGATTCCGCTGAAAATCCCTACATAGGGGTAACTTGGGGCGTAGAGTCGCGTGGTGCAATCCGTTAAACCCTACACCTAATACTTTTCCCGCTAGAGGGCAGCAAAGTTCCAGCGACAGATTCGCCGGACCCCTAGGATTCCGCTGAAAATCCCTACATAGGGGTAACTTGGGGCGTAGAGTCATGTGGTGCAATCCGTTAAACCCTACACCTAATACTTTTCCCGCTAGAGGGCAGCAAAGTTCCAGCGACGGATTCGCCGGACCCCTAGGATTCCGCTGAAAATCCCTACATAGGGGTAACTTGGGGTGTAGAGTCGCGTGGTGCAATACGTTAAACCCTACACCTAATACTTTTCCCGCTAGATGGCAGCAAAGTTCCAGCGACAGATTCGCCGGACCCCTAGCATTCCGCTGAAAATCACTACACAGGGGTAACTTGGGGCGTAGAGTAGCGTGGTGCAATCCGTTAAACCCTACACCTAATACTTTTCCCGCTAGAGGGCAGCAAAGTTCCAGCGACAGATTCGCCGGACCCCTAGGATTCCGCTGAAATAGGGGTAACTTGGTCGCCGGACCCCTGGGATTCCGCTGAAAATCACTACATAGGGGTAACTTGGGGCGTAGAGTCGCGTGTTGCAATCCGTTAAACCCTACACCTAATACTTTTCCCGCTAGAGGGCAGCAAAGTTCCAGCGACAGATTCGCCGGACCCCTAGGAATCCGCTGAAAATCCCTATATAGGGGTAACTTGGGGCGTAGAGTCGCGTGGTGCAATCCGTTAAACCCTACACCTAATACTTTTCCCGCTAGAGGGCAGCAAAGTTCCAG